GAGGGGAGAGGGAAGTGCTCCTCCGAGCTGCGCTTTCCAGGCAGCTCCCTTTGTGTGTCTGGGTCCTCTGATTGTGCCCCTTGGGTTTTTGTGTGCTGCGATGCAGCTGCTTGGGGGTCTCCTTGAACAAAAGGCAGCGCCGTGTGCGAGACACAGGAAGAGTTTCCCTGGCTGCAACCTGTAGGGAGCAAAGGACAACGAGGCAGAACAGAGGCTAGAGGAAGGGCAGGTGAACACATGAATCACACGGTGACGCCAGGTCCTGAGTGCACGGCTCCGCGCACCATCCCTTGGAACCGACTGCCACCTGAGCACAGAAATAACCCTCCTGTGGGCACCTGCATGGAAGGGATTCCTCTTGCCGAGGGCAGAATGGGCTGTCTTTCTTGCCTTGCTTTGCTTCGTGCTGCCATGCGGTGAATTGAGAAATTGGACAAGATCTATCGGGTGGGGCAGCAGTGATGACACCGAGGCAAAAGGAATTTATTTCCATTTTCAAGCATTCCACCTAGGAGAAAGCTGAGATGCAACCATCCCCTGGCCTGAAATACTGAAGCAGTGATGGAGGCTGCCACCTGGGTGTCAGCAGAGCTGCATCTGCAGAGGTGTTTGGTGTTTCCATCAAAAGGGGAACGCAGTGAAATTCGTGCAGAGCTCTGCCTGGCCTGGGGACACTCACTTCCAGAAGTACTGCAGCACCAAGAGTGATATTGTCAAGGAAAGATGAATTTAATAATTGCATATGCAATGACTGCAACTGAACCAGCAAACTCTGAGTCTCCTGGGCCGTGCAGTCGGGCTGCCTGCGCTCTGATACCACGCCGAGGAGCTGCCCTGCGAGCGCCCCAGGAACGCTGAGCGGCATCCCAGCGAGCGGAGAGCCGGGGGTGTTACCAGCACGCATCGCAGCAGCTGAGCTCTTCAAACCGTTCTAGTGACTAATGCTCCTCTCCGAGTCTTGGCCAGTGGGCAGATTCTTTCCACAGATGTCTGCCTTGCGTTTAAACAGTTGGGTTTCACTGCTGGCTTTGTCCAGGGCAGAGCTGCCTCTGCAGCAGAAGTGTTTTCTTTTACATAAACACTCGCAGTAGCAGTTGCTATTTTGTGAACTACTAATTGACTCTGTCTCCAGGAGGGAGTTACAAACGAGCTGCACTTTTTAAGAAGAGACCGAGAGAAATGGAAACAATTTGTGGGCTCGCAGTTAAAGAGACCTTGAGGTAGCAGGAACCACCCCGGAGATTTTTCCAGTTGCGGTCTCAAAGCGGGATGCACACAAATGGTAAAGGAGCTGCGACCGAGAGCAGCAGCGAGAGTAATTCAATAGGAAACTGAAGAAAGCAAAGCTCGACAGGAGCCTGCGCCCAGGAGGCAGAGGAGGGAGGGGTGGGAAGCGCCAGCAGCACCGGGGCAGCTCCTGGGGCCTGGCACCGCCAGCAGTGAGCGGCGCCGGGTGCCAGCAGCAGCACAAGGGGGAGGTGACAGCTCCACATCCCTCGGGGAAAAGCGGCCCGGAAATCCTTGGTGACACGGGCACGCTTCGGCGAGGAGGGGGCTGCAATCCTGCTGGAGAAAGTAATTTCCTCCCTGCGCCACCAAGACCGCCACACGCTGCAGTAATGACGCTCAGCTGCCTCCCCGCTTGATGGTCCAAAGGGGAAACAGCCGAGTCACAAATTAATTAGAGATGCCTAACGAGCTCCTGTGCTGACTGCAAGCGGGGAAAGCAGAGGGCAGACACTGCTGATGGAGGACGTTTCCCCTCTGACTGCCCCAGCTGAGCGTGTTACAAACCCGGGGCCTTCTCCCGTGCACACGCGGGCTCCCAGGAGCGCTGCCAAAAGCCGCGGCTCCTCGGCGGGGCGGGGGGCAACCTGCCCCAGGAAGCCGCACGCAGCGGGGTCAGCACTTTCCCAGCGAGCAAAGCCTGGGAAAACACAGGCGAGGATGTGACAGCCCACTACGACGTCTTTGAAAAGTTGTGTTTAGGTTAAGGACTGTTTCCCCTCCCAAAAGGGGAATGGGAACGCACGGCTGCGAGGGGACGCAGTCGGCCAGATGCAGCGCGGAGCTCTCCAGCTGAGGATGGGGTCCCTGATTTTAATACCGAATCACTTCAGTTCTTAAAAAACTCTGTTTCCATGGGAAGAGCCGGGTTTATCCTAACCTATAATTTAAGAAATGGTACGCAGATTTAAACCCTATTTTGCAAAATAAATTTGCCTGCAGGCTGATGGCTTTTGCAGCCTCACCAGCGTCAGGACAATGTCATGTGAAACGACAGAGATCAAGACCTTTATTGAACTGTTTGAGCTGCACAAGAAAAACAAGCCCGTGGAATAAAGTGCGGGATCATTAATTATTGCAGCACAAGGAGCACAGCTGTAATTATCTTGGTCGCCAAGAATATCTCCCTCCAGTTCTATCAGGCTTCCTGGTAATGCGTGCAAACAGGAGCCCTCGTTCTTTCTGCTCTTTTGGTAGTGATCAGAATTAGGCAGGATGTCTAGTTACAGCTGCTATTAATAAATCTACTCCTTGAAAACTTGGGGCTTAATTTCTTAGGATTCAGTGCACCCAATAAGCTGCTGGAAAACATAATTGCCTGTGGCTGTAATTCTGAAGTAATTGTGGAAGAATTACCACGTCTGTTCTTTGCGAAGGAATCTGAATTCTCCGAAGTGAGAAGTGGCTCTGGCAAGAAAAAAAAATCCAGTGGGCAGCCCCTTTTGCACCCTGTTTCCCAGCTCACCCTTCGCAAGCACCTCTGTGGCGCGGTGCTGCCCACGCGGGGGCTGCTCAGCACCAAAGCTCGTGCCAGGGAGGTGAGGAGGGAAACGAGCCCCAGCTGAAACGTCTGGTTACGGTGGTTGGAAACCGAACAAGAGCAGCCAAAGGCAGGCGGTCGGGGAAAGTTCCCCTCTCTCAGCGCTTCGGAAAGCGTGGGATGGGTGAAGCCTGGGAACAAAGCCCCCAGCACGGAGCATGGCCCTGCTGGTGGGGCCGGGGTGGGAGGTGCACCTCACCGGTAACATCTCCAAGCCCTGGAAGAGCTACGTGCTGGCACTGCCTCCTTTCTGGACGTTTTTCTGGTGCGCAGTCCTTACGGGTGCTGGGAGCGCCCGGTGCCCTGCCGAGGCTGCCTGCCCCGGAGCGCAGCTGGAGCCGAAACGCGTGCGGTGACGCCCGCCCCGCCGAGCAGATGTCTTCAGCTCCAGCTGGGAACAAACAGCTGGAACAGGCAGAGGTTTAAAATACAGCTCTGCTGCTGTACAAATATTTTGGGTAATGAAAATAAACAAAGAAAGGAGCGTGACATGGGTCCATGTGCTACTATGCTTCCAAGGCGGAGATGGGCTGCAAGAGAGCAGAGGACCTGTGCCAGACCCCAGAGGGTGGCATGAGGCCGAAGGCTCCTCGGGAGCGGCTCCTTTCCAGGATGCACCCGGCCACGCGGGACGCACAGCAGATGGTGCCCTGGCAGAAAATGCTGCCCAGCTGTGGTACCTTGGGTCCTGCCAGGGCAAGGAGAGCTGCAGCACCTCCCTGACACGCTGCCCCTCACTGCTGCTCCCCGGCCCGTGTCCCAGGGGCACCTGCAGCCCCTCGGGAGGCTCCGTGGTGGCAGAGCCCACGTTGCTGGGGAATCAGGAGCTGTTCCAAAAGCCTGCAGAGATCCTACCAGGGTTTGTACTTTCGTTTCTTTGTCAAAGCTGAAAAGCAGCGATTCCGGGAAAACAGCATCTCCAGCGAGCCAGCGACACATCCCCAATCCAAGCACTGATGCAGTTTGAATTGCCTGTAGCGATAGCAAAGATGATTTTGTTGTACACAGGCAAGACAAGAAGAATACGCAGTTGGTGTATGAAGCCTGTAGCTGTTATTGTAGCACATGAAAAAAGTCAGGGGATGGCTGGAACAGAATGTGCACACTGCAGAGCATAAACAGAGGCGTTGCTTTCAGCACACAGCCTCGGAAAGACACGCGCATCCCCAGGGTGCGTGCTTGCATTTAACTCCAGTTACAAGGCCACTGTTTGGAATGGGAAACGCTCAAATTTGAGCATCACATTTGCAGAGACAACACAAGAGGGGTTCAGGACGAGCCGCCCAGCAGCACCGTGCTCATGCAGACCTCAGTGAGGGCGCGAGCAGCCTCCCACCCTGTGCCCCCGGAGCGGTGCCGCTGTTACGGTGCCCTAAACTGCACAGGACAAAGCCACTGCTCCTCTGCGGAGCCGTGGGGAATTGCACAGGGTGTGCATGAAGGGTGCTGCAGCACTTGCACGCCTGCTTTTGGCCAGGCAGCGGTTAGTTAACGTCTCCTGTGTATCAGGAAAATCAAGGGAATTCCAGAAGAGGAGCAATACATGAAAAACCAGGGGCTAGCGAGTGCCGTATCCCTGTCTGGCTGGAGATCTAAGAGGGAAATCAGTTCTGGGCATTACCATCAGCATTTTCTGGATGCTGCAGCGATTCTATTGCTGAATTTACCGCTAACAATCTCTGGCCAAACACCCACGTGGAGACACATGATCCCCGCTAACCTCGCGCATCCCCTGTCAGGAGGGCACCTCATGATCATTGCTCTGGTAACACCGAGTTCTCTGTGCAAAATTCTCTTCTCTTGTAGGGAAGTCATTACAAACACCCTGCTAGGGGACACATTTCAGAGCAATGTGCAGCCCAGAGAGGAGCACTGCTTTATGCACACATCTCCTCCAGCATCAGCAAAGACGCTCAGGACCACCTTCCTATCTGATGCCATTTTTTCCACCATCCCCATTCACAGCCAAGGGACAGCGAGCACAAACCTCCATCCGAAATGGCCAATTCCTTGAGAGACCCCAAAGTAAACGGCTGCAGCACCACGAAGCAGACCCCAAAAGGGACGTGTGGGAAGAGGCGCACAGGTGTCAAGCCTGAGCTGCTTAGAGCTTTTAGTGTCACCAGCACGCTCTTACTACAAGCATAAAAAAATACAGAAAATGTTCCAGGAATAAATTGACATACTGTATTTATTGCACAAATTTCCCCTAAAATTGGGAATGGTTATTATAATACAAGTGCACATCTTGGGAAATATATACAAAAACAGAAGAGAGAACAAGTATGTACATTTTACCCAGCATTTTACAAGTACCACCATCTAAATAATTTAGAGAAAGCAAAAAAATTGTCATAAAACATCTATAATATCTCATAGGGAAAACAGAGGCAAGGTGTAAAATCCTTTCTTTGAAATATTTTTTGTTCTTAGCAGCCCAGTGTTTGCCAATTGAAACAAAAAAAAAAAAACGTTTGCTAATTTGCGTGCCTAGTACACTTAGTTTTCAGCCAGAAAATTAAGACATGTTAATGGAGATTGATAATAGTGGAACAAAAGAAACCAAACGCATTAGTCGCCTATTCACATAAACAACTGTGATATACTTTTTAAAAGCCAACGCTACAGTCCTGTAAAAGATCCCTTTTTGTATTATTCACCAAATTGACACACGTACCACGTTGTTCACGTACCCGAGAAGTTCACTTCCAGAAAACCTCTCCAGCACACAACAGCTTCGTTCGCGTTTTCCCCACGATGGCAATAAACGAACACAGCCGGCAGCCCTGTGCACATGGCAAGGAAGCCGCATCCGTGGCCTCCTCTCCGTGGAGTGACCCAACAAATCATTGCAGCGATGGTAATGGGCTGCATCAGGCAGAAGGCAGCAGAGGAGGATGCCACCGAACACCAGCTCTCTTCTCAATGCTAATCTCAAGCTGTGCCAGGGCTTCTCGTGCTCCAGGGTCAAATCCGCTTCAAAGCACTACCCATGACTTGCCTACTGATGGTTAAATGGAGAGCATGATGCGTCCTGTCCCAGTGCGCTGTAAGCACAACCGTGAGGTGGCAGGATGATGGTGCAGAGCTTCCCAACCAAGCCCTCAGGTTGAACACATCCGAGCACATACCACAGGCAGCAGCAGCAGCATCCACCGGTGGCTTCGGCATCGGGACCACGGCAGCACCAAGCCTGGCGGCTCCACCACGATGAGGTTACGGCTGCAGATCCACAAACGACATTCAGACTCGGAACTAGTGGCTACACCATGGCAAAGAGTTAAAAATTCGGATTCTGAGCTCAATCCTATATTTCATTAAAAATGTGTTTACACAACTGGGCCCCTGCATTCTGTGCTCATTCCAAAAGCCAGATGTAACAATTGTGTGGCGAGGAGAGGACGCTTAAAGAATAGGGGAGAAACATTTCCTTAGATCACACAATAAACACAAGTTTCTTCCCTGCAGCAGTCAGCATTAGATTTTATATACAAAAGAGTTTCAAATGACACTGCCTGTATTGAAGTCGGGTTTGCTCGCTAACGTTGACTCAGTCCTGCACGGAAATTGGTGTGGGTTTGCCCATGTAGCTCTTCCCTGGAACAGAGTCTTGAGTTACAGATTTTAAATATCACTGAAAAAACACCCTGGGTGCAATCTGGCCCCAGCAAAGGAAGGAAGGAGAGTTTTATCATTGACAGCAGCGGGGCAGGGATCTCTCCTATTGTTTTCAAGTTTATAAAATGGTTAAAATAGATTGTATGTAAAATAACTCTGCAAACAACAATAGAAGGCGTGCTATGCTATTGAAAATATGATTACAGAATGGCATATTTGTAGAATCACTTATGCAGTTCAGTGACCATGTGAACACGTATCTCCTACTTCTGTGGATAATCCATGAAGCTCGATATACTGAATGCAATCGATGAAAACAGAACCAAACATCAGCAACATGAATTGGCTGCTAGGACAAATAAGCAAAGAAAAGCCCATAATGAAGTGTCCAGTTAAACTGAGGTAGTAGAGCCTTTGAAAACATAATCCACCTACCACTGGATATTTACATTACTTACACCAGATTGGTTCCATCAGCTATTCTTACAACTGTTGTATATACAGTGACAAAACGGTGATGGCTGAGTAAAGGAGAAATGCTGAGAATAAAATAAACAACATTTCCTGCTGGTAATTACACGAGTGAGTAGAAAAGGGATTAGAGCCATCTGCATCGAGGGTATACTTTGTCCAAAAATAATTTTGATATTACTACTCTATGGAGTAATCAATGTTCATTTTTTTTGTAGAATGGTTTTAAAAAATATATCAATTAGTTACCTGAGCAATTAAGGGTAATAGTCTGTTCATTTTTTCCCCAATGCTTTGGTACAATTACTTCTAGCTCATTATTTCAATAGCTGGCTGACTGCTGTAAAAATAATAAGATGTTGCAAGAACATTACAGACCGTAAAAAAGTTAGAGGTAATAGTCATGTCGTTCTGGGGGCCCCATGGGGAAACTTCAGCCAATGTTCTTTTTTTTTTTTTCCCTAACATTTTGATTATGTTGTCAAAAAAAGCATCACTTAATATAAAGCAACATTTAAACATTATAAACATTTAATACTGGTTACGACATCCAGCCAAGAAAGAGAATCTCCACCTTTAGCTCGCCCTTTGGCCTCTCCCTGCCTCCTCCCTGTCCCCCCACTATTCCCTCTCCTCAGGAGAAAGATCATAAATAAATTTTGGAGCTGAGTGTCATTCATTAATAAGCTTTTTACAAAACAAAACAGTCCCCCTCCAACCCTTGTTCTTCCTCTGGGAAGTCTCCAGAATTTGACTACCAGGTGAAAAAGTAGAAGCTGTTTACAAATCTTTGTAGCTTGAGAATTACAGATCTGAACACGATCCTCATCGATATAAGCCAGTCTGAAGACAGCTGCTGCCTTCTCTTGGTAAGTTTATAATTGGCAATAGCATCAAATATTTCTCAAAGCAGTTCTTCCTTGCGTTCCCCAGTATAAATTACAGTTAGCCATTGTGGCAGAAACTGATAAAAAAATGCAGATCTTCAGCTTTCGCTAAAATCTTCACTTTTCCATGGTTGAAATCTTGGGCTTACTCATTTTCCTTTTTTCCTTTCTTTATCCTTTTTTTTTTTTTTTTTTTTTTTTTTTTCTACAAAAGACCAAGTGGGAGAGGAAAAGTCTCCAAGCGTTTGCACGATGTGCAGTCATATATGGAGATGGTGCAGCTCAGCGAGCAGGCTGTTTCGGCTGCTGCGAAGAGAAAGGATCCAGAACAAGTTGTCTTCCACTTTTGTTTCCAGGGGGAAGAGGTAAACGTCTGTGCCCTCTGGCATTTTAGAGCAGTATCTGGGCAACATACGGAGAGTGAGTGCTTGCTACAGCTGCCAGTAAAGGGAGGTCGCTGGATTCAATCCTGAAAGGAAGCAGAAGAGTCACATTTATCTGACCCAAAACACAGCTGGGCTGAGCAAGTGCCTTAGGAACTCTGCTGCCTGCCCAAGCCCGAGTGTTTGTACTGGGGCTGGGAGTGTGCACAGCTCGGAGTGGCAGGACATCCCCCAGGTAGAATTAAAGCCAATCGTGCTCCTCTCCTAATGCAGTACTGCCGGCTGGGTTACAGACTCCAGCCATCGGGGTGTTTTAGCATCCAGCTGTGCCTACTCAGACTGAGAGGTGACAGACCTGCACCGGCACCGCTGCGCTCTGCTCCTACCTGCCTCGCTTCTCACAGGGGCAACGAAGAGGTGAGGTGGCAGATGGAGGGAGGAGAACCAGCACATCCCCTCCTGCCCTCCAAGCAAGGGCAGCAGCAGCTGGGGAGCAAAGCACAGGAGCAGAGGGCCAGGCTCAACTCCTGCTGCTACCAGGGAGCCCTGGCACAGCGCTGCCGCTGCTCCCTGTCTCCAGCTCCGTGTGCCTTGCTGCTCACCCTGCTCTCCTGCACAGAGATATTCCGAGCCTTCCTATAAACACCCCATAAATAGCTCCTCTGCCTGCGCCCCACGCCCACGGAGACATATTATGTGCCTTACATGACACGGAGGGTGCTTTCTGCCATGCAGGGAAAGTCAACCTGGAGGACTCGGGTGCCCCCCGTTGCTCAGTGCTGACTGACCAACTGAGGGACGACTCCGATAAGCTCTGGAGTGCTGAGCCCAGCTTCCTGCCCGGAGGGAAGAGAGAGAGGCTGGGGGTTCCTCGGGATCAAGCAATGGCTAAGGAGAAGCCTGCAGCCATGGGTGATTTATGCCACACCACGGTTCCAGTCCCATTTAGGAATCCATTCTCTGTGCTTAGGACAAACCCAGGCGGAGGATTTGGCACCAGGAAACCCAGGGCAGCACTGCTCTGAGGAAGTTTGTGATCGTACCCCAGCACAACACCCAGCTCTTTGACGTGAACTCTCATCTGGCCCTTGAGATATTCAGACAGCATCTTGCTCTTGAAATAGAGCTCCTGCAGCCGATCTTCCAGGTGCATAACACACTAGAAAGCAAAGAAAGACGTCGTGTCAGGGACAGCACAGCACTGTGGACAAACTGCACACAGCCCCAAAGCAGAACACCCCAGACTCCACGCATCTACTGCCTTCTCTTTGCCCGTGTCTAGGTGAATAATTAGTAACACATTAGCAGATATTTCTTTACTGGCAAGACTCCCACTTTTGAGCAGAAGTTTTTGATTGCTTTTTAAATCAGAATTAATGAGACAGCTGTCTTGGATACAGAGCAGGGTTTAAACAGACAGCTCAGGCAGCTACATCAGGGATGTGCTGGCTACTAAAATTGTGGCTATGGACAACTAAACTAAGCAACCTTACAACATCTTTAGCCTCTGAAGTGAAAGGATGCTTTAATAACATCATCCCCTCGATTTTCATTCATACTTACGAAGTTTGGAGACAAGTTATGCTTGTAAAGCTGCAGAGTGGAATGAAGCAGGTTAGAGACGAGGCTGGAGACTAACACTTCTTTTCCCAGCTTGTTATCGATCATCCGTCTCTGGCTACTGGCCACTTGCACCGTCCATTTGTCCGTGTCTGCAATAATGCAGACGGCTTCTGCAATCGGCTCATCCAGAACAGGGTGCTAGGAACAAAAACAGAATAGCAGACCTCTGAGAAAAGCAATTGACAAGGTCTCCTCTCGCTACCCTGGACAGCAGGGGCAGCATCCCACACACTGCCTCATCGAAAGCACAGTAACGTGCTAAGGATTGTGCTCCATCCATTAAAAACAAAGCTTTATTGTAAGCAAGGCATGGTCTTGGGAGGATAGTTCTTATTAAACATTTTATCCTAGGCTTGAGAGCGTGGCACTGGCTGACAATTTTATCTTTTGGTATTTGATATAAAGAGTTCTGACTGAATATAGGCAAAAATGAGCATGTTTAAAGCATATTTTCAAGTATATTGTTTGTATTTTAAACCCCTAAAACTGAAAGCACCAGAAACCCTACTTGCTTTTGAACACGGCTGTGTTCACGAGGTCAGCTCTGTTCCCACTTGGCACTGGTTTGCTGTGAGAGGAGGCCAGCAGAGGGAGCACCCAGCTCAGCCTGCGCTCAGCTCAGCTCCTTCCAGCCTCCTCTTTAGAGGAGGAGCCAGGGAGGTTTTAAAAAGGGAGCTCATGGAGCCCCAGTGCATCTTGTGGGTTCAACAAGCCCGCTCAGGACTCTTGTTTGATATCAGTCTCTCCTCTCCTCAAAAAGTCAGCACCCTCAGAAGCTGTGACAAGCCTGAAAGGAGCTGGTGTCCCTGCAGGACTGGGTGCTGCTGGTGGGCTCACCACAGGAACACGTCGTGCCCTGCGAGCAGCAGCAGGGTGGCCAAATGTGCACGGAAAGGGGATGTCCTGGGGGAGCACAGGAAGTTCAGCACCACTACTGCACAATTCCATGCCTGGGAAGGGAAACACAGCAGCCTCCGTGTTTAATCTGGTTCAGCAGCATTGCATCCTGTGGGCACTCAGCTCTCAGCAGGCTGCAGTGTCTGCAGGACTCCAATTTCTCTGCGGCTCAGCACAGAGATCCATCTTCCCGAGGCCAAAGGCCTCTCGGGTTTATTTAAGTTTTTGTGCTCCAGATTTGCAGGGAAATAACAATGTTTTTCAGATACATTAATTGAGAAACGAGAAAAAAAAATGGTGATCTGGGAGTGGAGACACCTGAAGAGAGCTGTAACTGTAAGCGCTTCCCCTTCCTGCAGATCTGTGGGTTTGAAAACATTTACCTTTCCTACTGCGACAAACACATTTACCAAATATAGCTTAATTACCTGCACAGCGTGAGACAAATCTGACACCAAACAGTGCCTCAGCTTTTCATCACTTCCTATTCCTTGCAAAACAAAGTCAGGGACGTACGACGAACAGTAGCCACCTAGTAAGGATCTTCCAAAATTGGCGATACTGGGCTGGACAGAGTTCACTTCAACTAATTTTGACCTGCAAGGAAGGCATATCAAGGAGATGTACAATCGCATATACCAAATTCAGCTTTCAAAGAGGTTGCACTCGCACATTTATCATATCTACTTTAACTTCCATTCAAGCACTTTTAAAAAAGAAACATTTTAAAGTCAGCTTTTGCAGTCAGCCATTGCGTAAGAAAAGGATACGAGCCAAGATCACAAAAGCACAATTAATATTTTTTTCCAGACCACTGATCTCTCCGTATTCTTTTACAACCAGCAAGCTCAAGAGACACTTTTCCAACCACTGATGCCAAGTTAGCCTGCATTCCTCCCAACATGTGACATAAGAGGCTGCATCTTTTTTGGTCTCTGTTACTGCTGAATAGCACTTACCCGGGAAAAGGAATCTCATATTCTTCTGCCCAATCTTCCTGCTCTCCTCCGTAATAGTTACTGCTTGGCCTGGTTAGATCATGACCAGCATCCTCGCTTTCACTGTCACCCAGGGCACTATCCGAGCTCTCATTTCTTGGAATGTCCCAATCAATTCCCGGGGCGACCTTTTTCTCTGTGTTTTCTCTGTCCCCATGGGGGACACGAATAGAGATTTTCTCTCTTTGGTCCTGCTCAGCAAAGCAGATTTTGTACGTCTCCTGTTGAACGGAGTCCATAAATTTACAAAATTCGCTAGGTGGTTTGCTAGCCTTTGTACACAGGTTTTTAGAAAACTCTAAACTACTGTTGTGAGCAAGAAGGTCCGTAGCTGCTTGCCCTGGAATATCATCAATAGTCCGGGTTTCAATTGAACTGTCATCAGTAAAATATTCATCAAACAGACTCATGCTCTCAGCGTTGTACGGGTTTGGATTCCAGCTCTGATGCTCGTTAGCAACTTGAGGAAAGGGTTCAGTTGTCCCACAGTCTCTATTTTGGTCCTCACCAGTTTGTTTAGCTTCACAGTTCTGATCAGCAGACACTCCTCCTTCCTCCGCTGCTGGCGGGCTGTGATGCCTCGCAATTTGTTCCACTACTGCCTGACTTCTGAGCTCGATGTCTGAATCAGGTGACATGGAGTCTCCGATGAGGAAAGTCACCTTTGTCTGAGCTTCAGCAGCACTGCAAGGAAACGCATCGCAGAAGAGCTTATCCGGAGGCTTCTTTTCCACAGCTATACCGGGTGACCTTGTTGCACTGACTGCCTGGTTGCCCGATTCCAGCGGGTCTTCATCCCTCCACACGTTTGCTGCTGGCTCCAAACCAGATTCTGTCGATACACGTTTTTCTGGTGAAGCCGCCCCTGCACACACCACGCTCTCCAGGTTGGTGTCCAGGCAAGTTCTTGCTGGCTTAACATCAGCAGCATCTTCCTGGCAATCATCAGGAACAATAGTTCTGCTCTCGTCTGAAGACGTTTCCAGCTCTACCTTAGGAGTGTTTTGCGTGTCTTCTCTCTCTTGCTGTGAAACACCTTCTATGTTTTGTGCGAGGGAAATGGGACATTTGCAATATTTACAGCTACAGTTGGGAGTTCTCGTTTCTTCAGACTCCCTCGGCAGCAAGTTGCCCCTGTTCTTGTGCATTGTGACAAGCACGTACTCGGATTCTTCTACTTCTCCTTTCTCCAGCGTGGTCGTTATAACAGTTCCAGGCATGACTATGGCTTCATCTTCCCCATTTTCTAGAAGATGTGTCTCCTGAAGTTCTGAGCATCTGATGAAGTAAGTGAGGAAATAAAGCAATCTCTGGACCAGGTCATGCCTTTTGCCAACCACAACTGTTTTTGCTAATCTCACAGGTGATCCGATAGCCCCATACAAGTCACCTAGAACAGGAAATAAAACAGACAAATGTTTTGCATCTTTAAAACAAATGGTTCCTCTAACGGACAACTGTTGTCCATCTTTCAAAGGCCAAGCCCACAGCAGAAAAACACTGAATCAGAAGAGGACAGCTATAACAGTATTTTGGTTTTAATACAGAGAATTCTAACTAGGCTGCTGGTACGGTATGTAAGGTGACACGCTGGTAGGAGACATCTGATCTCATCTATTAGGGAGTATTTGCACCACCTAACTTCGGTGCCTGGCTCTGGAGGCTGGTCTCCCAGGTTCCTTATATAGCTAGGGAAGAGAGGAGGCATCTGCTCTGAATTACCCTGGATAGTCTGGACACTGGGCTGAACTTTTCCCTACCAAAAGAAAGCTGTCAGTAGACACAATCCTATGCCAAGAATGAAGGCAAAAAGTGTCAGTGGCAGGTGCCTAGCTGAAGCTGCCTTCTTTCCCTTCCCCTTGAGCCCTCCGATGGGTCATAAGGGTTTTTTGACAGCTTGGAAGACCGGGCCCCAGGTTCACCTTTGCCTGTTGTACTGACAGTATGGCCACTTTGAGGATGAATTTCTTGGATTTGTTCTTTCTAGAATCAGGCTTATTAATAGCAGCATCCCAAAATACCAAAACGGAGTTTCTTTATAGAGAGAGGAGAGGAGAAGGACCAGGATCCTCCATCATCACCAGGGCAGGTGACCTTAAGAGACCTGGCATAGATGACTAAAGAGGGCTTTACTTTTTGGGTGCCATTTTACAGTTGATACTGCAAAAAAATAATACAGCATGTATAAAAAAATACAGTGAATACCTGAGCCTGAAATACACGCTTTTGTTTTGAGTGGGAAACCAAAAAGTTTGAACATGCGGGGGGAAAAGAAGCAAGGATCCATAAAAATCACCCCGCTCGTACCCACTTACACCGCGCTGTTACATGGTTTAGACGTTTGCCACGTACCGAGCTGTGCCCACAGCGGGTTGTAGGGGTGAGTTTTGGCCAGCATGTCCACGCTCTGGGAAGAATGCTTTTCCAGGAAGATTCGTATAGGTGGCTGGCCGTTCGGCATGACCGTAGGGACCCAGGCCAGGTGGTTAGTCAGGACTGCAGTCAGTAAGGCTGGTAAGAACCTGAAAGAAAGATGTTCGACAGCATGTTTTCCAGGTGAACACTCAGCATGTTAAACTGACAGCACTTCCATGGTCTGTGTGGATCCTGGATGGCAGAAACAGCCTAACGAAGGCAGAGGACTGACCTTTGGTCCTCTCCCACACCTGCAGAGCTCTTTTTTAGAACACACATCAGAAGTAAAATGAAATAGTTTAAACTTGTGGCAACCCAGTTCCTCTCTTTGGCAATAATTATGAGACTTCCTATTTTGAAAGCTCTGTGTTGTAAAACACCTCAAAACCGACTTCTGCTGTTCACTGAAGAAGACAGTGGCACTCTGTGGCCTCTGACATGACCGCTCCAAGCTGCAGGTCCCACATCCTTAAGGTCTGGGACTGTTAATGAGGAGGAAGGCTGTGATATTTGCTGTCATACCTGTAAAGTAGCTAGGTACTGTGTTGTTTCATAAAACTGTGATGCAATTTAAGCACATATGGCTGCTCCTTTTCAGAACTACCACCCCCCAAGTTCTGTAACACCATCAGGAAAAGAAAGACAGCTCAGCCTGAAAGGCTCTGTCCTTAACCAGGCTAATCAGTTTTCACCAGCTAGACAAAAAAACCTTTCTGAAAAGTGTTAATTATCTGATTTTCTGTACAGTAGAGCACAGTTTCTGCTGCCAAGGAGGACAGGACAGCCTTTCCCTCCCAGGCCCCCTTCCCTGCAGGATGAGCATGTGGCAGCTCAGCCCAAGATCCTCCCGCGCACCGACAGATGGTGCTGGCGGCTGCTGCAGCAGCTCCAGTGCCCAGGGAGGAAAACAGACAAACTTCACTGAGCCTCAAAATAACGCTGCTTGAATATTTTACAACTATCAGAATCCCTACGGCTTAAATTTAGCCCTGTTTCCTGAGCAGAGACAGCCAGAAGAGGAAAGCAGACTTAAAACCAGATTGCAAAGGATACAGGGCTTGATTTTCCTCTGGCTTCCATCAGTGTGGATCTTGCTATATTGAAAATAAACCAAACAAGCCCAAACAAATGGCCATTTAAATGTAAATAAGAAGCACAGAGCTCCGAGTGACAGGGACTGAAAGAGGCTAATCCTGGGGAAAAGCTTCCAGTGCAGTGGGAACTTGTTTTAGGAAGGCACATTTGAACCCCCTCACAAATCCCTACAGTTTCTCCCTTGCACTGAGGCAGGAGAAAGCACACACACTGCCCACTGACTGTGTCCTCCCCGTCTGGGGGAGGGAAAAGATGACAAAATTACCCCTGGGTGGCGAAGCTGAAGGCTGCGAGGAGCAGCGGGTGCCACCTCCCCTGCAGCTGCGCCTTCCCCACCACACACCAGCACGTTCCCCTGAGCTAACAGCTGGGCTCTCTGCTCATCCCCACTCAACTCCACATGTTTGTGCTCGTTTTAGGATTTTCAGTACAGCCAAGCACTTGAAAAACTTCCCCAATTCATGCCCTGGGGAAAAAGGATGAACTGTTGACAAAAGAGTAAATTTATTCAGATTCTGCTGAGTTTATCGAGAGCATTCTCTCTCTCAGTTTTTAACAACTGCTCAGGGCTTTGTCCAGAGGGCAGAGAGGTGAATGCTAGCGAAGCAAACTATTTCTTTAGGGACATTTTACAGAAGTCAGGTTTAAAAGCAATTTGCGGTCAGACAGCACTACACACGTGGCTCTCTTTCTGAATGTCTAACCTTGCTCATCATACGATAACCGATTTTGAAAGGTAGATGAATGCATTTCACAAGGTATGTTCATCCCCTTCCAGACATACACACCCATCACGCGCTTCCTATGGACGCGTTTCAAATGTTTAGCCTTTACCAGGATTTAGAGGATTATGGAAGGAGGCTTTTCATGGGGATACTTGCTTACTACACTTCTGTTTAAAAACTAAAGCATTTATGGATGGCCTTTTGATTCTTTCTCACTTACTACCAAGATCTAAAAATTGATTTTAAAATTGTTTTTTTTAAAAAAAGACATAAACACATATACATGTAAAAACTGAAATCCACCATACTGGTTTTTAGCAGCGTTTTCCATCAAGAAAGTGAATTCCTTCATGAAGCGATGGCACAGCTGGTTCTTCTCCGGTGTCCCCGACATCATAGTAAGCCAGACGGGCTCCCCGATCCGCGGCATCGTGTAGAGGTTGCAAATGGTCGTTCTAGGAAAAAAAGAATAAATCTGGAATTAAACCAAACAACGAAAGGCAGAGACGGAGATGGACGGAGATGAATGAGTTTTTGTTGTGGTTGCTTCCCTGCTTTCACTACGTTTCATTCAAAACACAGAACTCCTCCATAGCTGGTTTGTGACTGGTGTGAATTTATGTGCATCTGCTTTATAAAAATGCTTTATAAATGCTTTAAAAAAGCTCCCCCCTTGCTTTAACAACTGGTGCATCTCCACCCCAAACCTACCAACGTGTGGCTTTGCAGAGAAGGGGCCCAGGTCCCTGCTTTAACTACAAACATATCAGCTACCCCACGGCTTCAAGGATTTTGCACCTACCCACATCCTTTTTGACTTCACAGAGACCAGTAAACGCATGGTTAAAATGCTGCCTTTGCAGTAAAACGCCAGATTAAAACCCCTCAGATCACTGCCAAACTCCTGATCTAAACCAAACGATGGCTTTGCTCTGAGCACAACGCCTGCCTTATGACACTGCACGGAGCTACGTTTCCATCACACTAACAACATAAGCCTAAAAACAAAACAAAACAAAACAAAACAAAAAACCAGAAAATCCAACAAAGGAAATGGCTGATCGATTCAGGTGTCTGCCCACCTCAGGTACTGCTTTTTCTAGAAGAGAGATTTTGTGTTACAGGACATGGATTTACGTCTCGGAACGCCCCAGATTTATACAGATCCTCCTTGGACACGTTGGCCTGAAATTCACAGACACTTCCAGAACTGAGGCAATGGCTGAGCACGGCAGGCAGGCAAATGCTCTCGAGCAGCAGCTGCCAAACCTTCGGTGCCTAAGAGTTTAAAGTGAAAGCCTGCAGGAAGCAGAGCCCCACGCGTTTTTGTGCACCGAGGCTGCAGCAAGACGGGATGGGGCGAGGAGGGCAGGTGGGAGAGAGGGGCTGGGCCCCTCTCTGTCTTAATTTTTTTCAGCATTTTTCGTTAAAAACAACATCCACGCTACGTGCTGACAGCAGCCAAAATCAGCCCAGTCTTCCTTACAAGCTGGATTTTCTGACAGCTTCCCACTGGAGCAGGAGGAGAGGCAGGGACACCCTGGGGCTGGCTGGGGAGGGGGAAACCGAGGCCAGGGTCACATCCAGCAGCCCCCCAGCACCCGGCTCAGCATCGGGCATGGGCTGGGAACACACAGCCTTGGTAGCAAAGAGCTGGGGCTGGAGGTGGGATTATTGAGAGAAAGCTTTCTGTTCACAGCCCATTAACTGGAGCGGAGGCTAAGGAGGCCCTAACAAAGGGAGAAACCCCCCAAGAGTGGGAATTTCGGAGCTGGACGAGTTTCAAAGCCCAAACCAAGTATCAAAATGTACAGCGCAGATGCAGCTGACCAGAGAAGCTGAAGATAAATGAAAACAACTCAACCTAAAATAAAGCTGGTTTCTGCTTCCTATGCAAACTAACCGCGCCGAGCCTCTTGCAGCAGCTCCGCTGTTTGGAAAAAAGAAACTACTTCTAAACTAAACCCAACGTATTAAAATATTTGTTTTCGTTGAAAAGATAGACCGGGTCTTGTGATTCGTTATTTACTATTCTGGTAACCCTGGCTGCATCTGCAGCTGATAGTGTTTCCTCAGCGCGAGATCAGATTGCACTGGCGGGCGGCCAGCAGGCATGTGACTGCAGCGCAGGGAACCCTCGCTGCCGAGCAGCCTCGGCACACACCAAGGGCAAGGATTAATGCCTCCCAGCTCCGCGAGCAGGCGGGGAAACGCTCTCCTTCGGCTGCTAAAAAAAAAAAAAAAGGAAAGAAAAAAAAAACAACAACAACAAACCAAAAGGAAAAATACCAAAAACCAGAACAATAAAAAAATATAATAAAATAAAAAAAACACACTGCAGGAAGCTAACCAGATTAAAACCCACTAGGAATTAAAGCTGAAGTCGACCCCTCCCGACCATCTGCAGCTGCAGCCCCCTCCCCTCGCTGTGCTCCAGCACCCCCCTCCCCGTGCACACAGCACACCCTGCTCTCGTCGGGCTGCATTGCATTAAAAATGGTTGAAATTTGGAAATGTTTCTTGGAGGCTGAACCCAGCACGGGCAGGAGCGAGGGCTGGTGGTGTGCAGGGGCTGGGGGGCTCCTCAGGAAGCACCTTTACACCTTGCACAGCTCGCAGCTCAGCACCAACCAGCCGAATGAAAACAAGACCTGAACAACCTCCTCCCGGCAGCCCCCTGGGGTTTTGCCTGCCCTGCGGGTGCAGATGGCTGGGAGGAGAGCGGCACAGCCCAGCCCAGCCCTGCTGCCAGGCACGGGGCTGCTGCACTCAGCTTCCTGCTGCTGCGGGACGGATCTGCTGGTGCTGTAGGGCCCACGAGGCAGTAGCTGCTGGACAAGGGGCTGGGGGCTCTCTGCAGCTCCCCGTCCCCACCAGCACAGCGCTGCTGCCCCTGGCGTGGTGCTGAGAGCTGCTCTGCTACCCACCGGCTGCGAGGTTATGACAAAGCCAAGCATCTCTTTGGGTATTGCTTCCAAAGTGAAAATACAACAGTGGTTTGTAACACAGAGCAGCTGTGAATTTGCTCCCTTCCCTCCTGCCCTCGATCTTTCCCCCCCTTTTTTTCTCCCCTTGAAAATAAGCTGCTTAAAAGTTACTGGCATAAAACAGGATCAAACGTGGCTGCCAGAAAGTGGAGAAAGGTGTTTCCCTAGGCCTGTGTTCAGGGCTTCCTTGCCAGTCTACGTCTCTGCCACGCAGGTATGAGCCAGCTGCACCCACAGGGTTGTTGGTGTGCGGCACTGGCCTCGGGGACCGGGGGAGTCGCAATGTTTATTTCAGAAGTCATGTGTCTGCACATCTGACATCCAACGAGTTTTAAGCCTTTAAGTCAAGTGTTAATAGCTAAATCCATCGCTGCTTTACAGAGTGAAAAGTGTTGCAAAACGACTCATGGCACAAGGGTGGGCCTGGGGCTGGGCACCGCGCTGATGGCAGACGTGGCGATAGCATTGGTTTGTGGAAGCAGTCTAAGCCTTTCAGGGAAAGCAGCTGTTTTCCTTTTTCCTTTGAAATTCCATTAAAAAAAAGTCCTCCTTCCAAAGGGGAAAAAAAAAAAAAGAAAAAGAACACCTGCAAGGAGTTAAAGCAGCATGGGATTATGTTTTAGAAACACCAGCCCACTGCAGTCAGCGCCCTTCTTCCCTCCAGCGGAATTTGCTTAAGAGGGTAGAAATCAACACAAGTCTCAGGTTCACCAAAGGACTCGAGCTCCTGACTTCCCCGTGACTTCAGTGGGAACGCAGACGCCTAAAGAGATAATAGTGGCCTAAATGGGTTTGCTGAACCCATGCCAAAACAACTTTGCATCCAGCCTCTGGTATTTAAATACTCCTTTTTTTCTTACTATAGGCATATTGCTCTGCTTTGAAAGGTTCCTGCACGGTACAGGAAGGCTTTCCTTACGGTACAGAAAGGTTTTCCTATCATCACAAGACTTTCCTTTTGGTGAGCAGCCTGCAGTGCAGGGCTCGGGGCCGTGCCAACCTGAAGGACCAGCCGGGGGCACGGGCTAGCGCTGCGTCAAAAAACGCAATCGCCCAAGTCTGCCGCCCCGGGAAATCCATTTATACAAAATTAAACTGGGTTTAATTTACCTCGCTATGCTATTAAAGAGTAATATTTGTATCGCCATGGAAACCTCTGCACCAAGTAGCAGTTACACACGTGCTCCCGGCGCAGGTTACGCAACGGCCGGGTCATGCGCGGGACCGCATCCTATAACGCTCGGCGAGACAAGACGAGACGAGACAGCCGACCCTGGAGGGGATGGATGGGACAGGACACGGGACTTTACCTCCCTGCCCTGCAGGGCACAGCCCCGTGAACCTCCCTTCAAGGAGGAAAAAGCCAGCACGGTGTTTTCAGGCTCATTTTTCCTGCTTGTGACTCTGGACACAGTGCCCCTCTCCACCGCCCCGAGAGCGTTTAGCTGGGGAGGAAAAGAAGGGACAAAGTCCACCAAATGTATCTGGGGGGGGGAATGATCTGGGGGAAGTTTTGGGAAAACAGCTGGGCAGATGGTGTTATCAGGGGATGGGAATGCAAAGAAATTGCTCGGGGTGAGAAGGGGGAGGAGAGGAAGAGGGGGAGCAGAGAAGCCTGTGGCTGCTCAGAGTTGCTTAACCCGTCCCAGGCCCCCTGGGCAGAGTCTGCGGCTCTCAAAAGTTTCGTGCTCCCTCAGCTCCAGTTCTTGGCACAGCTCATCCCATCCCGTTCTTGCTGCGGGCCCACGTGCTCTCTGCCTTGCCTCCTGTCCCTGCCGAACACATCCTGTGCCCTCCCTCGACACTTCCCTGGGGAGAGGTTCTAAAAATAAAATAAAAAATACTGTGCCTTCCTCCTGCAACACCAACTAGTTCATGGCATCCAGGTAGCACACAGAATTACAGAAAAATCGGTGAGAATGTAAAGTAAAATGCATCCTGATGACAATTTTCTTTGTAAAGCATCAGAGCCTTGTCTTGTGTAACGTCTTTAAGAAGTAGCTCGACGCTGGTTGTAAAAGGAAGCACGCTGCCACTCCCATCTGAGAGGAGATGAATCACTTGAAACAGACGGATTTCATTTTATTTCCCTCCCCATTACTTAAACTATGGAAAGAACACACGGTTAAATGCCAGGGATGTGCTTATCTGCATTACTTTGTATAGTAACTGCTGAACAGAGACTCTCTGCAGGTACTGATAGCAAGAGATTACAGCAGTGCATTTTTCTGTGTGAAGACGATAGTCCTCCTTCTTCGTAGCTGGTTATCTGAAACTCATTTAGAGCAAAACTTAGAGCAGGGTAAAGGTCTTGTTTTGTTCATACATCAAGAAAATACCAACTAGAGGAGGATTTCCCTAATGTGGATTTGCAGTTCGTATCCCCCTCTCACTGGGTCTCAGTTTAAGAGGTGTCTGGGAGCTTCGTTACCACTTAATGCACAGAAAACCTTGGTCACTTACACCCTGCTCATGCTCAACCCTTATGGATACAAGCACTTGACAAAATCTAAAACCACACAAAGAATAGACTGGATTGCTATCACCAATACATTTATGGCACTTAACTTTAACAGAAGACATTGGACATCGTACTTTTCTAGGTGTCAAGAACATTTTCCTTTTCAGATAAGAACTCTAAGGGCTGAAAAATCCTGCACTGCGGAGGAGGTCCTTCTAAACCACTTCAGTGCTTTTGAAGAAACAGGTGTAAAAGACACAAGACAAACTGCTCACCTGAATTCATTAAGGGCATCAACAATTCTGTTATACGCCAAACTCCGCTGACTGGCATCAGCTGATCTACGACTCATTTTCATAGCCTTGAAAACAATCATTAAACAGATAAGTAACACCAGACATAGTTATAGAAGCACAGAAAATGGAAAACAAAGTCATGTGTTTGACTTTATCTTCCATGGAACCAGTCATGCAAATAATTTTTTTTTTAAGTGATAAAATGATGGTACAAGTGCCAACTTTCATATCTGAGGGAAGATAGGTGAGGCACATGCATTTGCAGCCTCTGATTCTTCAGTGCTTTTCATCATTCAAGGCATAAAAGAGGTCAAAGTTTTTATTGCAGTGGTGAAGTAACCACTAAGTATTTCCTAGAAGAGAGATTTGAAGCAAATCTAACCACATGTTTGAAAGTTTCCTACACATCAGAATCAGGGGCTTAAAACAAAAGGGGAAAAAAAAACATAGGGAAAGTGAGAACTTGATATTTATTTACACTCTGGAATATCCTAGAGATAGGCTCTTATCTTGCAATCCACAATGTTCAGATATAGCTGAAGCAGGGAGGCAAAGGTGGCCTTAAAAGCAGCTTTCCCCATGGCTGATCCTGGGCTTGCTGGGAGCCAACACAGCCTACTGACTGTTGTAGCTTTCAGCAATCCCTGCAGCACAATGCAACATGTCCTGTCCTCACCCCAAGTTTTGCTTTTTCTAGCAATAAGAAACATCAAAGATGTTGTGGAGCAAAGTTCCTTTCTGGTGCAGTTCCAATAGCAGGCAGCAAATTGATTCCTCTTTTGTAAACCAGTAACAAGAGTCAGAAATTAAATCTGAAAGGGCTGAGGGGGAACGTATAGCAACACAAGTGCAAGAATCAAGAGAGATTGCATTTACCTGTTCTATTGCACTCTTCAGTTTGTTCATGTGACTCTCAAAGAGTGGAAAATGTGAGAAGAAGAATTCATTAAATTTGTTGTTCTCATCTTCATCTCTTGAGAGTGAAAAAATAACTCCAATTGCTATCTTTTTCTTCCTAACAATTCCTGGGCTAGGACCAGAGCTGTCATCTGACAAGTTAAAGCTTTCATCCATGGACCTTGAAGCATAGAAAAAATAGAAAGTTAATGTAATCCACTGTTTAAAGTTGTACCTTGGTTTCCTGTGCAATTAAATTCTAGAACATTTAACTTCAATGAACACCATTTGTTTGCACGTGTTGTCAAAGCAGTAACACCCTTCAATAGCACCCATTTTGCAATTCTTTAAAAGCAATCATTAATTAATCCTGCAATCACAAAATCTGGAACCAGGTTCAAAGCATTTGTGGGATTAGAATATGGCATCCTAGTTCTCCTTTACCTCTGCCAAGAATTTGAGTAGGATTTTAGGGCTTCTCATCCTCAAAAGTACAGCCTACAGGTTTACGTTTTGCTAAAGGTTTTCCCGTTAGTGCAAAACAGTGACTGGCATGAAGAAAATGGACACTGAAAAGATCAGGTATTGAACTGCAGCCTGACTTACACCTTTGTAAATACCTCATGGAAGCAACAGCAAGAAGAGGTGTATATATGCAAGAGCAGAATCAAGCTGACAATGGTGGGAAATTATGGGAAGCAACCCACAGTATCACTCCCAGCTCACCATCGAGGGAAGACCCCGTTCTCCAAGCTGGTGGTCTGACTGCGACGCCACCGCCGCTGGTAGCTGCTAGCACAGCTCTTGTTAAACGAAGAGCCCGGAGATGGAAACGGAGTGATGAGCAGACTGCTCAGAGATGCTGCAATAACAAGAGCAGTAAATAAAAATCTCTCCAGGAGAAAGAATATTTGGAAAATAATACCAGCAACTTAACTATGACCCTGAACATAAACTGGCGTTGCTCATGAAGAGCCTTCTCTTTTGCTTATCAGTGCTTCTTATCTAAAAACAACCGGTTTATAACAACATTAACAAGCTATACAAGCACTACAAGGGTGGGACAGTCCTGCAGTTGTATATAATAGCCAACTTACAGGCTGCACCTTGCTCATCAACCCCAAGCAGCGGGAAATAAATTCTTTGTAGATAGGAGTAATATTAATCACATCTTTTAAAGGTCTTTCCACCCCCAGTGCCCAATACCCTGAATGAGGGAGGAAGGGAGGGGTTCTTTGAAGGCAAACTCATGTTTTAGCATCAGTACCCTCCTCAATTTGGTAAAGACATAACAAGTGTTGTATAGAAATACTGCAAACTCATTTCAATATTTAATCTGGCTTGTTTATTTGCAGTATGCTTTAATAAACCGCACTGCTGTTCAGATTAGCTCTGTGACGTTCCTAATGGAACACCCTGGATGCCTAAGGTATTTGTCCATATGTACTATGTACACATTAATGCTTATATATAACAAAAAAGAACGGTCACATTTCAGGAAAGCTATTTGATGATGTCTAGATGTCTCAGTAACAAGACAGATGACTACCTTAATATTTTCAGAGTCTATAGGGTTAATGCACAGAACTGACATTACCAGATCTCGCTATACCACTGTCTCTGTCCTCATTCTGCTCCCTCCCAGGCATATCCATAGGGTTGCTGTGAACTGTAAAACAAGGAACACCAATTAGCAGGGGAATATACAGTTCCTTTCTTGTTTGCAGATCTCCGTGTAATTATTGAAACAAAAACATGCTCATTAATTCAGATCAACAGCACTGCACAAGGCCATCACCAAGAAAGGCTTCTTAGCTGAACAAGCCAATGCACTTATTTGAAAAGCTCACATGTAATTTTCTGCAGTCCATACACCTACTTCAGTACAAACTGAACCAGGCTCACTTTCACTATTTCTTTACATGGGTATTTTTTGATAAAATTTTAGTAAAAGGATGTTAGCCACATAGGTAATATTCAGTGTATAAACAAAAAAAAAAACAAAACAAAAAACAACACAAACCAGTATCAACAAGATTTCATTCATATACTGGCCTTCTCGGCTCCTATGTATATAATTTTAAAAGGATTTTACAATGATGTCTTGAAGAAAATAAATACTTTGAAATGGTGAGCAGTGTATTGGCTGTTCATCTAAGCCATAAGCTATCCAGATTCACAATCTGCATATACAGAAGATCAAAAGTGTATCAGGCTTAACAGACTAAAACGTGATGTATTTTACAAATGTGCCTGTGAAATAGAAGCTACTCAGCCATGGAAATAAGACCCAGACACTAAAAGCAAGAAAAATCCATTTTGTATCAAGCTAGGTTACTTTTAGATTTTAGTTGGTTTGAAACAAGTCCAGATCAAAATAGCTTGACGCTATTGCGAAATATTATTTCTAGAAAGATGAAATCGGGTATTAAATCTGTGTAAGTTTTTCAAACAAAACGAAGCAAAAAAGCAACCAAGCAGTCCCCAAAGAGGACTATTTAAATTCCTGCTGTCCTCTGGGGATTTAAAGCATGTACCCAAACAGATAAGAGAGCAGAAATCACTGTCCCTTTTTGTATTAAATAAATAATAATCTTATTTCCAGGGCTGCACTACAAATCCACGTTTTGTCACCCCAGCTAGACTAGCCACACAGCACAGCACACAGCAAACTGCAAACCTGCAAAGAAAGAGGCGCTCCGGATCAGGCGGAGCGGACCTTGTTCAGAGAATGCCCGCCTAGGGCTGCAAAGCTGTGAAAGACCTACATGGCAAAACGTAAAATACACATGAAAGAATGAGGTTAGTAAAGCAGAACAGTCCATAGGGAGGGGGCCAAGGGCAGGGAGAAGATATAAGCCAACGTAAATGCAGACTAACGTACGCAGGAAAATAGCTCTTACACTTAACAAGAACGTTGAGTCAAGGAGTATGGCTTATAGCTGAAATTCACAGTACGTATAGAATAAAAATAATAGAGCCAGCTTTACACCGTCTCCCATATAAGGATGGGCTTCTGTCCACGGGCTTTTATTTATTTTATTTTTCTCTGTTGAAAATGATTAATTTATGCAGGCTCGAAGCCGAACTTGATCACAAACAGGAGATTCATCTCGGAGCACAATGTTTGTTTTAACATCCACACTGGGGGGGTGTCTGAGGAACGCCGTCGCTGAAGGCGATGGGGGAGGAAGGGAGGGAAGGCAGGAATAATTCGTCTTGGTGGAACCAAGAGAAAATTACAGGCCGAAGTAGCTGTTCTGAGAAGTACATCGGGGTAGTGAAATCGTATAGAAAATAAAACGTTAGCAGCCCTAGCGGTTTGGATTAAAAGTAACACTGGGGCATAGATCTACAAGGGGCAGAGTGTATTTACTGTACACAGAGCTGCAAAAAATAAACGGGTAGTTTTAATGAGTTAATTGCCAGTCCCTCTCCCAGATTCGAAGCTCCTGCTCCAAGTTTACTGACTACAGAAAACGTGAAGGCTGCAGTGCCACAAAGCTCCCTTCCGTCCTCCTGGGTCTTCGCTCCTCATTAGAGGAAAGGCCATGACTAGCCCTTTTTTTTTTTTTAAACCAGCATAGCTAAAAAAAGCAGCTTGTAAATAGTTCCCAACCAAAACACATAGGGCCTTCTCCTATCACAGCCTGGCAAGAGTCGGCGAGTCAGGAGCAGCCTCTGGTATTTAGCAGAGTTGTCAGAAACGCTGCAGTTACAGATTAACCTCTGTGCCTGCCTTACCCAAGGTTCCCTCCGCGCCGAAATGGGAACTGTAAACAAACGCCCTCCGACAGCCTGAGAACCACAGGGCTCAGTTACAGACATTTCAGCATCCTCCTCCAGCAGCCCCCTCATCGCTTCTCGTAGGTGCCCAGCAGTGCTCCTCCTGGGAGCACGCAGCTGACACCGAGACCAGCTTTGGTCTGTGCCTGAGCTGCAGAAGAGCATTTAAGCTCAGGCTTAGCTTCAAGAATTCTACACCGTGCGTTGAAGTCAATGGGAAGGAGAGAAGTGGACACTTGCATCCAACAAGAATTAGGACCATGGAAGAGCCAGAGACCCAGTCAGGGTAACAAAGCCATCAAATTCACTCCATACCTCCAACCCTAGATTTTACAGACAGCAATATTCTGTAATGCGTAAAAAGAAGTCCCTTATTCCACCTACCACAAAAGACATTTTGTTTGGAAAGCAGATCATCTAAGCCAAGGGAAAGGGAAGACGTGCTTCCACCTAAGCACTGAAGTACAGAATCTTTACTATCAGCTCTATTGCCTGCATGGGGAAAAGCCAACATCTTTCACTCTGTTACCTAAAGCTTGTGAAGCTTTCACCTACAGCAATTCCACAACAGCTGAGAAAGACTCCAAATCATTTTTCAAGACTGCTTAACTTCAAAGATCAGACCAAAAAAACACAAAACACCATCATCCATCTAATCTGATCAAAAACTAAAGTGCAACTGTGCAAGGTTAACTTTGTACGGAATATGCAACCACATGTGCTAAGGTGGCCAGAGTACAGAAGGGAATGGAAATTATTAACAAAAACAAAATTGGGGAACTAAGCCAGGAAGAATCAGTCCTGCCTCATCTGAGATGTGCTGCTTAGAAGTTCTACAAACTGTTATTTTCCAACACATTTCTCTATGTATTTTCACATACACATGCATAGCTGAATATATTATTCTTCTGTCAATTCCTTGAACTAATTTATTCTCCTCCTAACCTCATCAACATTAATTTTCTGTAAAGTTCTTAGCTTCCTTGTTTTTTTATTTGATTCTACTTAGAAGACTTTCATATTCTAGAACCTGTGACTACTCAATGATAATAGGAAATAAAATCATTTTGTAATTACCTATATTCCCGAGAAGTCCATTCATAATCGTACTGTGGTCAGGCTTTAACGTATTGCTGTCTTGATTAATGAACTCAAGACTGTCCTGCAACCTAAAAAATCCAGAAAATAAAACATACAGCAAAACCTGTGATTTGTGTTTCAGTTTAATACAGCATCACTTCATCATGGCTCAAATGGAACAGACAAGGTAAGAATGCAGACTTACACTAGAACAAGCCACATTCTGGGGTGGGTCAATTAACACACAGAAAGCAAAATATCAAACAGTCCAAAGCCCGATGTTTTTGTAACATCTTTTTCTTCATCTTGGACTGAATTCCCCAACTCCACTGTTCTGTTCTCATCCCGTTCTGTTCTCATCCCGTCTCCTCTGTACCTCACAATACCAAGCTCCAAAGGAATGGCTCATTCATTCGCTTAAAGCAAACTGAGGTGAAGACAACCACAAGGGAAAGGTGAGGAGACCCATGGCAGGATATAACAGATGGCTATTTTTCCAAAAAAGGTCTTCCATGTTTTTTACATTCATCTGGTCATAAGCAATAGATAGGATTTCTAACAGACTCACGTATTCAGACTTCCATAGATGCTGCTTCCAGTGCGAGCTGTGAAAACTTTGCTGAGCATGAGCTGAGGAGGTGAGCTAGAGGTCAAAACGGAAGATGTCAGTCAGAAGCAGTGCCAGGACAGGCTTTTCATCTCCATTTCACAACCTTCCAGATTTTATAGACCTAAACACAACTTAACAACCTTTTGTGTACAAAGTGACATCAGAATAGCTTTAAAGCAAACCAGAAATTCCTTTTCATCTACACTTGCAGCATTCAGTTCATTCTAAATTGGCACCGAGGATTAAATCTGCTGAAATGACCAGCAGTAAAAAAATGCAACTTACCGGATCTGGTGAATTTTCAATGTGGAGCCCTTATAGCTCATGGCCACAGAGCCAAACATCATCTCTCCAAGCATGTTAGCATCTGAAGAGCACCGAGAACCCTGAAAAAAAATCCACTTGTTTTTAGGCATTTTAGTAGCACATTTCCATTTGAGGCAACATAAACCAAAGGAAAATAGGCCTCATGTAAAAGATGAACATGCAAAATCTCTCTCTCTCTAACACTGTCAAACACACTAAGTTGCACAGTTCAGTAAAGATAACACTAGAACAGAAAGTCATCTTCAAATGGGCTGTGGAGCAGACCACTAAAATCATCCAACACACCTAACCCATCCAGGGCAGGGGGGCAGATTCAGGCTGCACTGAGCCTGGGGACTAAGAAATGTAAAGAGTGTGATTACACACTTGGATGAAACAGAAGCAGTAAGCCCAAACCTCGTAACTGGTGGACAAGAGGCAGCACAAGTTCACAATCTGTGATCTTACGTAGATTGCCCACTGGAGCCATGCTGGACCTGTGGTTTCTCAACAAATATTGATTTGCAACTTAGCCATGGATGGTGTTTTGTGCTTGATACATCTTTCTCTCTTGTTTCCTGGTACCTTCTCCTGCGATGGCACCAGGGAAGAGCTGCAGCTCTCCGAGCTGCATGCCATGCTGGAGATGAGCATTTCCTGCTAGCTGGCTGGCCAGAGCCTGCTGTAAGGCACGCTGCCCAACTACAAAGGAGGAACGCCACTGCTCAGGATCACAGGCTAGATCAAACGCTGCAAACAAAACCCTAAAATTACAAGGTTACTCAGGGCAATCAACTGCAGACGACTGCTCAGATGACAGTCATCTAATTTGTATGCTGTCAATGCCTGAGATTACCGTCCCTTTATGCAGGGCTGTTTCTTCTCTAGGCTAGCAGCATGCTAGCACTGGCTCTCCATTTGTGCCTTGCCCTGATTAATCTGAAATACAGTGGTCCTGCACCCACAGAGCTCAGGCAGCTCACAGATGAGGTACTTTGGTACTATGCAAGAGAGCAATACACCTCCTCTGAGGTGAGTGATAACTCAGATCACTGCCTCAGAGCAATCCTTCCAAAAAATGTTCCTAAAACCAGCCATGGAAATAACCTTGTTCTTGGAAAATGCTAGGTGACGTATCCCCGTACCCCTTATCAAAGCCCTGAATGCGCAGGATCCCCACTCGGATTCCTAAATAGGCTTGGAATATATCTCGATGTTTGCCCAGCGTCAGGCAGTGAGCTCATAGCACAATCAAGGACAGGGTGTCCACACCACGGATTCCTACCAGGAATAAGGAGTGATACGGAGACGACCACTCAATGCTAGCCCGCAGAACAAGGGCAAGAAGAAGGAAATGCTAATCGACCAAAAGGCAGCACACTTGTAACGCTCCCTAATTTCCAGCTCTTCTCAAGCACTCTCAATTAAGATGACAGTCCTTTAACAGACATCCTATTAACCTCTGAAGTCTGCTATCACTGCAAGAAAGATAGGGGAGAACTAAAAGGAGCAATCAGAGTTATAATAATGAGGATGTAATTGCAAGGTTTGCTCGTGTTCATATGACAAGGCAAAATCTGGTCGTCAGCTGAGTCACACAGAAATTTCCACCCTTACTTTCCAAGATACCTCCCTGCCTAACTGTCTGGGTGCACTGTAGGTAGGACTGGAAAAACTAGACTTGAATCAGCCAGCAGGACCCAGAAGCTCCAGGGAAGTGCAAGAATGAAATTTAATGGCTCTGGGAAACGATGGCTCTGTCAGCATCACGAAACCTCGACGCGAGGAAACTACCAATTATTACAGCCAAATATTCTGATTGCTATTTTTTAAATCTGTCGCAGATCTCCAATTGAAGGCCTTGTTCTGAATCAATGTCGAGCCCTTGATGGTCAGTTTTGGTTTCTACTTTCTGCTAGTGTGAAAATCTATTTCTACAGCTGAGGAAATAAATGCTTGAAAGTAAAATATTGATTTTCCTTCTCAAGAAACCAAATTAAAAAAAGCAAGTGAAAATCAGCTGCTTTCAAATTTAATTATAGGGGTTTCCCTTCCCTCTGAGAGACAGAGACAAGCAATGCTGAAGGCAAAGAGCGTGGTAAGATGCACCCATGGTCTCTTTCAGTCTCTTTTCATCTACACTTCATGGCAACTATTAAGCTATGCATAACAGAAGACGCACATCTTTAATGCACTCAATATGGAAACACTGCTGCAGCTCAACTCCTTGCCTTTAAATCTGCAAAATAAAGGTCACTTGAGACCAAAGTAGAGTGCAATCAGCTGAGGAAAGAGGTTAAATATTAAAAACTCAAATGAAAAATAGCCAAGGAGCATCTGGTAAAAAGGGCAGAACCTCCAGCATTGACAGCTTGGACACGAACCAATTCCCTAGGTCATATTTACAAGCTCACGTTAAAAAAGATCATAAACCACCAGTAAGTGTTTGTTACTGCACATTACCATATTGGAGCTAGTAACATTTGCATTATTTGGAAATTACTTTTCTTAATATAACACCTCAAGCATTTACTATTCCATATGCTGCACATATTGTCCTATTAATAGCTAAGTACGTATATAAATCAAAAAGGCAATACGGAGATAATCTCAAAATGTTGTGATCAACAGTTCTGGAAGACTTTCAGTCTTGAAAACATTGACAAGCAGGTACAGAAGAGGTAACGCTAGTGTAATAATGTCCAAAACCTTAGATTTCACCTTCCAAAGAACAATTAGAATTGCCCATCTCTTGTCAAAGTGTACTGAAACGAGGAAACAAAGAACTATGTAACCATCCTATTAACATTGTATTATGTGGACTTCCATTTTATACCATTAAAAAAAGCAACAGAAGAACTTATAAATACTGCAAACCCATTAAGTAGCTTCTGAAGGTACAAAACAGAGCAGTTAGAAGACAGGAAATACCAGGCTGACGGACGCCTGGACAAACTTACTAGGGCCCTTCCATATACATGATAAATTACGACACAGATTTTATCATGCAGTAAAGAACTCCTGTATTTATGGATCTCTGCTCACTTGCTGAGGAGGCCTGGAAGGAGTACTGGTCTCGCAGTAAATAATTTACAGCGAATACTCTGTGGAAGACCAATTTAAGCTGGAAGATTCTCGCACACTTTCCGAGCCAGACACATGGCCACGCACCAGTTCACCTCGGTGAGATTTTGACTGGGAGATATGCATGAGGAAGTGAGGACTTAAAAGGGAAAACTTTCCACAGCTTTAAAATACGCTGCCGTGCTAACCACTAAAATTAATTTCCTTTAATAACGTTGGACGTTGTTTGTAGAGAGGCTGCCCAGCAGGAGAGAAGATTTCTGGCTAGCGGGGGGACATCGCTTTTCTTGGTCGCACAGTGCATGAAGGGGGTCACCCCGTGCTGGAAGAAAGTTCTTCCTTCCATCACCATGGCTAAATGCCCTTCCAGGAAGGGAGGAATGGAAAACAGACCTTCAGGCACCTTTTGAAACTGTAGAGAAGCATGTGATGTGAAAGAGAAAACAAGAAGAATCTGCAGCTCAACAAACACAGCAAGAGCTAGCAGGACAGTGGGAAAGTCAGCACCGAAAGCTTCTTCATTTCTATCTACAGTAGATGAAGACATCAGTAGTACTGTACTTCAGAATACGTCGTGGAGATAGCAGCCTCCCTCAAACACACAATTACTTCATTACAAAGAGTGGAAGGGCTTAGTTCTATTTCAGGATGGCTTAATATAAAACACTTGTGATCCATGGAAGGGGAGATGACAGAAATATATCCGTGTCAGATGACTCTAGCTACTCCCAGAGCCAAAATCTCTTATGTAAAATGTAACTCAAGTGTGCTGAAACCCTCGTTATAAAGCTGTTACCCAGACTATCCTTTCACACCGCATATTTCTGTGTTGCTTCCCTGGCATTTAGCTATCAAGTAAAATACACTACCTCACTGGTACCCAGATGGGATATTTGCGCCAAGTCTGCTCGCACTGACTGAGCGTTATCACCCGGGTCACAGGAAAGAACAAACGTCCTGAAGAACCTTCTGCTATTGAAGAACCATCTGAGAGTCCCAGCTGGTTGGTTTTAAACTTGTTCAAACCCAAGGCTATAGAATTAAATAAGGATCAGCCAGAATCAAGTCTGATTTTGACTAGAAATTGCTCTCCCCAGCCAGCATTTAATTTCAAGTGTTTTAAAACATTCGATACCTCACCTGTTGTATGTATTTGACATAGTTATATATAAAAAAAAAAAGGAAGAGAACTCACCTGATATTTTGGGCATTGTTCTTTTGCATCAGAGAACGAGGAGGATGAATTGATTGAACTATCCAAGGAAGAAGAGCTGTCTCCTCCGGGCTTCAGTTGGCAACATTTCCCAAAAACTCGCACCTGAGCATCGCTGCAGAGTTTCTGAAACACACAACATATGTGCCACACTGAGACCCCCAGCCACAAAATCACTGATTAGTGTGATGTTTATTGCACTTACCTGTCTTGGTAAAACATTTAAAGACATTTAACAGCAGAACGGCTTATGCACCAAGAAAACTCATCAGAGTATTTATTAGCATCTCTCACAGCCTGGCTGTAGGAAAGAAAGCTGAGCTGGTTTACCTCCAGTTAGCCAGGAGCCAGCCCATCACTCCAACCCCATTTTCCTAAGCAGACATCCCCCTCTCTGAAGCTCTACCCATCTCTTTTTTAGGCCCAGGATTACGGGAAAGGAGGGCATCAAAGTGCTCAGAGGACAGCAACAATAGGCTCCACCTGTTGCACCCCACTGCCTGTGCCCACTGGGGCAGAGGTGGCAGCGGTGTGACGTGCACAGCCAGACCACACCACAACACAGCTCCCCGTGTACAGAAAAACACCCAGACTGGGAATGGCCGAGCCAGAGCAACACAGAATTCAGGAGAGATTCATGTGACTGGGCTAAGTGGGAAGAGAAGGCATTACTTTACGGATCTCTTCCTAGCTGCGTCCATGTCCCCGTGTCTTTCAGAGCAGTGGCACGGAGGGGACGTGTTCCTTTCCTTCTGTTTTCAGTATGAGCGCACTGTGAGGCTGAACACGACAGCTGAAAACCACAGCTGGTGTTACAGAGAAGCCAGAGGAGTTCCACAAAAGGAGGGAGAAATGGTCCAAGGGTGATTTCTGATGCGTGATTCAGACAGAAAGCACAGCAAAAAAGGGAGCTAGAAAGGCTCAAATGGAGCTGGAACTGAAATGTGGGATCACCTGGGTGTAGGAGTGTGACTCTACACACACATCATCATCCATACTGGCACTGGAGATGCTCCACCAATATTTTGTTTGAGATTCAAAAATATGACTTCACCTGTGAATCCCAGCAGCCTGAGCAGGATCAGCCCACGTCCATGCCATTTACACCGGTATTAGGCAGCCCTCTGCACCTAGAGATCTCAAAGGACTTCTTGTATACTCATTAAACTTGGAAACACCCACGCAAGGTTGACATTATTTACATTTGCTAGTGCACAGCACTGAGAGACAGAAATAGTCTACACGGCTTAAAATTACATAGTAACGCTGCCCTGAGACTTTCTCAATTAACATTTCCGATACAATCTCCCAACCAGGGAGAGCAAGCTGGAAGCAAAGAGCACCGCAAGCAAGGTTCAAAGGAGAGATGGAAGCACCGACGTGCCATTACGGGGCACAGCTTCATCTCCGGGCTCACGGGTTTTCATCACAAGCTCCCACTTCAGGCAAAATCATAAGCATGTCTCAATCTTTAATAGCTAGAGAAAAAAAGGGCGGAATAGGGAAAGTGTGAAATACCCAGCTCATAAGGGTGGTAACTTCATGTCTCCGCTCCACAGTCAGCCACACGTGGACAAGAAGGCTACCCTGAGGGCTGGGGAGGGCTGGCAGATTTTGGTCAGGGACAGGATGGGGATCCCACATGTCCATCCTGCACTGTGCAGGTTGTTGGTTTGTCCGTTTGTCTTTTCCCCTGCTGTGTGGAACACCTTAGAAACCAGGTGGCTTTTCCTTGGCCCTAACTATGGGAAGATTTAAGCAAAGCAGCAGCAATGTCAGGGATTATTGAGCTCCCCACTGAGCTGCTGCTGCAGTTATAGAGCTGCTGCCACAGAGAGCCCGGAGGAGAAATGTGCAGGCAGGTCAGCAGATCGGTGGCAGAGGGGAAGGAAGCATTCACCAGCCACCAGGTTCTGTGTTTTACTGCCTTGTGCACCCTCTCATTACGACACGCTGCGAGTACGTTGGATTCCTGCAATACGTGGATTTGCTCATGGCAAGTATCTGTGGCTCGAGCACAGTGCACAATGGCTGGAACATGTGAATGATCATCATATGACTGCAGTAGGAACTCGTGAACTAGAATTGCATTTTATCTCTGACACAAACAACAATGTCCTAGGCTAGGCAAGCATCATGTGATAAAACCACATAAGATCCACAGGGTTACAGAAGCTTTTGCAGGCAAACCACATTTCAGCTTGCATTTTCCATCAGATGTTGAAAGTTCCCTCTAAAAAGCTCCCATTGTGAGCGAGCTTCCTTGAGACTGTGAAGCCAGTAAGTGCATTTCTACAAGTGACAAATGTTCTGTGCGCTAAAAGAACAGGCTTAGTTTGCAAATTACTGACATTTAACTAATTTCTTTTCCTTTCCACTGCATTTTTCTGCACAGCAGCTTTCCCCAGACCCACTGCTGGGTCTGGTATCTTGAGGTAAGAGTTGCCTAATCTAAATAGGAACCAGGAAAATAGTCACTTGGTATCTGCAGTGGTATTTAATGAACCAAGACTCCGGTGAGGCGTCTGTAAAGGTCAGGATCTTTCAGATACCCAACTTTTTGGAACCTCGCAAGCAGTAAATCCCTCCTAAAACGCAAACCACTGGCAAACTTTGGTTGTTGCGCTGTTAAAAACTTACCACGTGCTCAAGAGTAACCTGCTGGACAGTGAGATCAAGTACCTGCAATGCCCCTCTCCTCTGCAGTCACTGACTCCAAAGGTCAATGCAACGTTAGGTGCAACCAATCCCGAGCTAGTACGCCACAAAGGAGTGGGGTTACTTGCATTCAGTATAACAGCTGAAACATATTCAAGCCAGGTTTCCAAAACTAAAACGGTAACCGAATTATTTAAGAACTGCGTAAGGACAAATTTCAAAACTCTGCATTTTCTTTCCAGATATACAGTTGCAGTAAAGCAGCTCTCTAGGCACGGTGCTCCTGGAGTGCTCCGAAATGCACATTTTGCTGGCGAGCAGCACATCTGCTGGAAGGATGCTGCGGGCAGCTGCCGCTCCCGGCTGCCACGCTGCCTTCCCCACTGCAACCGCGCTCTTTGTTCCTTCTCTGCCAACTCTCTGCAGATACCCACAGCTCCAAAGACTTCCCGACAGGCACAGTTCTTACGTTAGAGGTCATAATTTGCTGCGAGTCTTGGAGACCTACCAGGTAGTACTGAAGGTAACGTACAGCAAATTGCCTTCATAGTAAGGCAGGGTACAAAATAGGTCTCTGCCACGGTTCTGCTTCTGGAATCTCTTTTCTGCACCTCTATCACTAAAGACCTTTAACTCTTTGCCACCGTGTCTATAAATTCCCCAGTGAGTGGAAAGAACATGCACGGTGCTGTGCACAGGAGGAGGAGGCAGAGGAATTTCCACTGAGCAAGTTCTGGTTCGGGGATAACAAGACAGTGAAAAGGAGCCTGGTGCACTGAACTAAACCCAGGCTGCGTGTGTGTGTGTGTGTTAGGGGCTGTGAGTGACAGAAGGAAAGAGAAATGTCATCGTATGTTTTATATTCCTCTACCTCTGCAGCAGCCTGTGCTCAAATACCACTGTGGCGGTGGCGACAGAGAAATCCATCTACTCAGATAAAGCCACCATTCTTCAGGAACTCTGTAGCCCATTTCCAGAGCACGTTATTCAGCAAAGGGAACTTCACAAAGCTGAAAAATTCCTCCAAAATTGATAAGGTAACTCCTTTGCTTTATTTTTTGGTCTAAATGTGTAGTTAAATGTGTTTCTGTCTAGGACAAGAGAGTAGCCTGAACAGGCACTCACTCTTTCCCTTTGAGTCCTGCTGTAAAAATCCAGGTATCTTTCCTAAAGACAGCTCTCAGGGGCTGCTTTCTCACTGTTTCCAGAGTTGCCAAGTTCCTCTATTTGTCATCGGTGAGTGAAAGAAGTAAAAGGACAAGCTGCTGCTCCCCCACTGGCGTGCTGTTTCTGTAGAGAACAGGCAGAGCTCGGAAGGCAGGGCTCCTGCTCTTACAGCTGGGGGCTTTGTCTGCTGCCCCTGGCTCGCTGGAAACCTGTCCACTGGGAGCGAGATAGAGCCCAGAGTCTTGATTTCACACAACTCACCTAAAAGCAAAGGGCTCGCTATCCGATTACTAATCCCTCAAAGCAATTTACTGCTCACCATTTATCCAGTGCTGGAGTGTATTAGAACACGTGGCTAATCCCCGCTTGTTTAAATCAGCATGCCATTTTTCTGCTTTGGGATAAATGTGACATTTGGAGTGAAAGAAATTGCCGCAGTAGGAGATCAAATATCATCTGACCTTTCGGTTATGTTATCCCAAAGATAAAGACAACTAGGTTACATGGCAAAATGAACTTTTTGCTCTCCAAATCCAAACCCACTCTTTTTTTTTTTAAGGTTGTACCTCCAGATCTCAAAGCGTGCACCCTTGGCCCCCTCTCTCGCTTTCACTTCTTCCAAACAAACAGCTTCTGAAAATCGTCTTCTGTCTCTGCATCCTGGAAACAAGCCACGGCCCTTTTCCGATTCATTGTCTTTCCCCCTTCCCAGCCAAACCACTCCAGCTCTGGATGTGAGCTCAGCACAGTGCACAGCTTGCCTCTTGCTTTCTTTTCTCCCTCCTCTTCCCCTTTCTCATGGTCCCTCTGAACCCTTTCTTCCACACTTTCCTCTCGGCTGATCTTTAGACGTAGGAAATCTTCTAGCTCCTTACATGTCAACCAGCACCTCTCTTCAGTCAAATCCCTGGCAGTACACGTTGCCTTGTTGTGGACAACACAAAAAGAAAACAAGCAGTTAAACCAGACAGCTAGAAACCAAACTTGTCCTCAAACTCATTCAGTTTAAGGAAAACACCAAGGCAAACTCCTCTCTCAGCTTCTTTATTTACTCCACACCTTCTGGACCACTCCTGGGGCATCCTTATCCTGTCTTAACATCCCAGTTAACATCCCAGCCCGACCCAGTACAGACTGGCAGCCCTTTCTGTTTCAGTGGGTCCTTGCACCATTTCTGTGACATAACCCGTGCACACAGCAGCAGCACAGCGAAGTACACTCACACTCTTCGCAAGGGTTTGTGTGAACAGTGGTTGGCTTCGTGGTTGAGAAGCCAAGCACTCAGGCAAGGGCCAGGAAACGCAGGGTGAGGGCTGAAAGCTGGCCCAGCTGGTGCCTGCACCCCGAAGGAGCTGCCTGTCACGCCTGGCCTGCAATTCAGCCCTCAGAGGACCTGTGGGCTGAAAAGTGGGCAGGGAGGTCTGGGCTGGACCTTGCATGGACACGGGGAAACGAGCAGGGAGGTGAGATGGGCGAGGTGGTACGTGTGAGCAGGAGGCAGGCGAGGAGACGTCACAGGAAAAAGAACAGACAGAAGTGAGTCTACCAGCAGAGATCTGTCACAGGCTGCAATACTGTCACCTGCAAATCAAGGAATCCAGCCTCACTAGGAACCAGACGCCTATCAGCACGAGGAACAGCCTCAGACTTAGTTCCCTAGCGGAGGATTTGGAAGAAACCCACCGGAGTGCAGCGGAGGTGCATCCCCATCCAGTGAGGCAGCCCCGGGGACGCGGCTGTCTGGGTGGGGACCACGGTGGTGAGCAAGGGCGGCAGCGGTGCCCACTTCTCCTGTCACATGCTGCCCTCGTACACCCAACATGCAAACGCCTGTGCTGAGACATCTGCTCATGATCTGGTGTCACAGGGCTGAAAAAGGCAGGCGAGCTCTTACGGGATCCCCTGACAAAGCTAAAAGAGGAGAGTTAGCTAATTTTCGGGTGTTTGTGGGGAAAGAGGCAGCTGTCCAGGCGCTGCACCAGGTATCTGCTTGCAGAGCCCGGCTCATCATTGGCCATCCCCCGAAAAGTGGGGGAAGAACCTCTCGTGCTTCGGACCAAAAAAGGTGTGGGGCTCGCAGAGGGGAATCTGCCTCCCTCCACAAGCCAAGTGCCCACAGCTGCCTAGCGCGGCTCCGTCTGGGTGGAAATGCCTGGCACAGCCCGGGGCCAACATTCCCGGTGCCGAGTCACCCGGCGGCTTCGCAGCTTTGCTCGTGAAGCTTAACTCTATCGGGACCCGGGGAAAACACGGCGTCTCTGCAGCGTGTGGCAGGGCACGGGCACCTGCCGTATCAGCGTCCCCGAAATTAGAAGTGTGCTTAACGAGCCCACTGGGAAGCAGGGTTATTTACCAGTCATTCTCTCTCCAGTCCTGAAGTCCTGGGAAAAAGACGTATTTTACCATTGCTACAGAGACTCTAGAATTAAATCTCCAGCAAATTTACCACCTTTTAGCACAATTAAAATATTGTAATAGCAATACCAGGAACCTCTTGGCTGCCTTCTGTCTGCCTCTGCACAATAAGCTCTCTCCAAATTCTTGTTTACCTAATATTTAGCTTTATTGAAGACAAGAAGAGGCTGATTTAATGTCCAATGAAAACACAAAATCCTTATGTGTGTTATAATCACATGTCCCTCACAGAAAATATAGACTCAGTAATGCTTTATTAATTAAAGCCTAGCTTGGCATGAGCACAAACTCTGTGGTTTTTACTTACCAAAAAGTTGAAGGCTAGTTTTATTTCTTTAAACATCTGCCTCTGGACAAGTTTGCCCTAATGCTCCTTGAGTTTTATAACTTTCCCTTATGGAATTCAAGCGACTGAGCCTTGGTGCACTGCACGCACCTCCTGACATACACCGAGTTTAGATATGTAAAATATAAAATAGAGAAAAATGTATCAGATGCTGCTGCAGACATGCAACCCAAATTATAATTGCTTTCAATCAGACGCTTTTTACACATCTCAGAAACAACAGAGGACAGGAACTGAAGAGCACAGCTGCCAGCACAGAGCAAACTGGCATGCACTCAGCTCCCTGAGCTACACAAACTGGTCAGACTTCAAGCAGAACAGCCTGGCCACCGCTGGGCACTCTCACAACCTGCCCCTCGGTGTGTTTGTAAATCCAGAGGTATAAATCATGGTAGGAAATGGGGGGTGGGGGGAGAAGATGCAGAAAGCGCTGCCCTTTGTGGGCCACTAACAGATAGCCTTTCACAAGGGAGAGCGCCCAGCCCACACACACGTCTCGCTGCAAAAGGGCAACAGTGCCTTGGAATGTGCTTAGAGCCAAGATCTGGCTTTGTACAGGCAGGGTGTGTCTTTGCTAATGAAAATCGTGATAAAGAACGAGGAAAATAAACAATGCGATTCCTTGAAAATGGCCAGTGTGTATTGCTAGCTGTGCAAGGCTGTACTCGGCTTGCAGCGAGCTGAGCCCAGGACTTGTGCACATTTTTACCTGCTTAATGTTTCTAATAATGCAAAGTTTTGTTTTATGAGGGAAGAATTGCCTGACATTACATTATCTGAGTGCTGCAGAAGGCAGACACCATAGCAAGAAAAGGTTTTCGATATACTCTCTTTCCAAGTCTCTTAGTAGCACAGAAAAGAATGAAAATGTACTGACTTACCAGACACAATTAGGGGCACTTCAAATACCCTGGGAACAGTCTTTCTCCACCAGCCTCACATACTTGTATCAAAGGGAATGTGATCATAATTTATTCCCCCCCCCCGCCTTCCCTTTAATGAAGAAAATAAAGAGGAGATAATACGGAACCGTATTAGCCTCATTATCTGCTGTTTGTTCTGTTGCTACTGAGCTGCCACAGACAACTGACTGTGAAATAACCCGAAACAATGAAGTTTGCAAGCTAACTGTGCAAGTACAGATCTATCTTAAAGAGGCTTTGGGCTTTCAAGAGATCAATTGAAATATAGCAAGAGGGTTCATGCTGCACAATGCCTTTCCTATTAATGAAGAAATGGTAATAAGCAAAGCCAGCAATTAATCACAATAAAGCTCTTTAAAGATCTTCTTGAACATTTGTTCAACTTGCCTTACGTCACACATTCTCAAAAAGAACTCGGAAATCAGGCCCTCAGTTCATAATATAACCGTGCTAGCACAGGCACGGTGCAAGCCTGGAAGCTGGTGCCTGATGACACACAAATCGGCTCCCCGAGGTTAGGATATGTGGAAGAAGAGCTCAGAATCATGATGGTAAGCATCAGGCTGGCAGCATCCAGCAATGGGCTGGGGAAGTTCACAAAGCAGATGAAGAGCCTTCTTCTGGCTGCAATCCAATACCCAACACGAAAACCAGGGCTTGCAGGTAACGCGTTATTTCGTGTTCTCCTGCTCACAGAACCCAAGAGGTCTTAGGGTTAAAAGCAGCTGTGATCATAAATGCCATTTCACGCAGTGCTCTCTGCTTGCAGAACTTAAAATGCTTTGCAAATGTTTGCAGAGATGGTGAAAGGGAAGTTCAAAGCAGTGAAATAAGTTGTCCAACCTCACACAACCACTTACAATAGCACTGTGGCTAGAAATTAATCTTCTGGCCAGAGCCCTTAGAAGGAAGTATCCTCCTCTGACTGCATCCATTACAGTTTCAATTAATAGATTACCATGCAAACCATGCCAAAAAAAAAAAAAAAAAGTTTTCAAGTAACTTCGTGTGAGAGCCGTCAGCAAAGCATGGGAACAACAGTTGGCAAAAGCTAACCAAACAGGACATGAGAGGACACGGGACTGGGAGCACTTTCTGACTCAGAACACAGGTCCCGCAGCGGGAAGTGTCCATGTCATAAAAGCTTGTCAATAAACATTGGATTATGCCCTGCCTCTGCCTCCTAGCATCGCCTGCTGCAGCCCCACGGAGGAATCCTTCTCTTGGAAAGAGCAGAAAGTAGAGAGCACAGGAGGAAGAAGATCACTTGAGTATCTAAAGCTCTTAAGAGTGAAATCAGTGGACCCTGAAAAATTTGCAACTTCACAGGCATTTAAATATAGCCCTGCATAACACCGATGTTAATATGGCTAAACCGGAACGTTTGTATTTTATCAGTTTTATATTAAAAAATACAGAATACAGCCACGTAAATCCCAATACTCACCGACACCGAAACGTCCTCGATTTTCCTTTTAGCACTGGAGTCAAACAAGACATTCCGTCCTCTTCTCTCGCAGTCCTGATACACAATCAGTCGGATCTGACTTGGGTCAAACTCCGGCAAAGGCCAGCTTTAATTAAAAAACAGGACACCAAAGAGATCAAATTACTACAACTCTGTAATACACTGCTCTTTCTACATTATTTCTATATCCAACTTTATTAAAGCATAAAATCCAGCAAGTGCAATGTCATTTCATCAAACGCTTTGATCCTGTAGCCAGAATTGTGTCTTTTTGATTTTTTTTTCCTACACTTGCAAGTAGCCAAATTACAGTGGCATAAAGGGCACCAGTCTGCTACAGCCATTGCACAAGGGTGTGTGCGGCGTTACAGCTCTCGTGCTCTGTCTTGTGGTACTTAACGTTTTCCTCAAGTTCCAGGTTCCTGAAATCAAAGCCATAGGAGAACTGCAGTAACACACACGTACAGAGCTAACTGCAGCGTTATGAACGACATTGAGACCAGGATATATCTGTCACGATGCATGAGCAGACAACCACGCATAGCTTGGACCTGACTACACTCAGGTCCTTGCTATATTCAGAGCCAGAAATAATCTCCACTTAAGCCACCGTGATTCAAGGCCGTGTTCCTGCCCGGGTCAGCAGAACGCCCACGGCAGCCCTCTTCTAACACACCTATCCCCAAATTGCTCCGCAGATGGTGAAGTGCAGCAGGGCTCTCCCAAGCCTCTGCCTTCCCTCGTGCCGCTGACCTCGGAGGAGCTCTGCATCATCCTCAATTCCCAAGGCCCAGAACAAATGGCTTTCTATTCTAAGCAGAATGGAAAAGGACACGCGTTGTGACACCACAGGGTGTGTTTACAAACAAACAACAAAAACAATACTAGTAAAAAAAAAAAAAATCATCAAATATTGCCAACCAGCCCAGCAAGTGTTATTACCCTTGGGCCTGGGAATTCATTTTCGCTGCTACCTGCTCAGTGCTTGGCAGACAGGAAACAAGATGCCTGCTCTGTCCACGAAGCCAGGCGGAATCACCTTTCAGCTACTTACGAGCCATTTCCTAGATCAAGTGAAATTCTATCTTGCTTATCCCTGGCTTTTAGGCAAGCAGCATTAGCACGAAACACCAAGAAGTGAGAAATGAGAACCTGGAAATTTCCAGCCGCTAACGGAGGATAGCGGCTCCAAGTTTACGAGAAGGAGCAAAAGACTTTGAGCAAAAAGACTCCTGTTAATGAGAATACAGAGTAAAGTAATCTAGGCATGCTAGACTCCAAGACCATGGTAAATTTTACTCTCCCCTGCCCTCCTAATTCACAAAAGCAAAGAAGCAAAGTCGTGTTCTCTGTGCCCATGCCTCACATCATCGCTACGTTAATGATGATTGTAGCCAACAACTTTTACAACAGGTCACAGCAGAGAATCAGTTCGATTGCCAAAGCCACGGATGCCCATCAGAAGCTTTTAAGACTGCCCAAGATAAATTCATGGGCCTTACAACTAGAGTAGTCCCAGCTAGCTGAAACCAAGCACCACTACATACAGTTACTCAGCCTTGAGAGAGGAAATCCATTTCCTAATCCTCTCAGCCCCACCATTTAGCAACCGAAGAGAAAAAACAGAAGCTGTAGAGGAGATGGTGTGCAACAAATGTCCAAAGCGACTTATTACAAGAAAAATGCTTGAGCAACTTGAAACTGAAATAACTTGGTTTAGCTTTGGGGGCAAAGAGCCCTGCACCCTCTCTGCTAGGGCACCGAAAGCAGTGTCTGCAGAGGGACACGGCCACACGAAGAGCTGACTGCCACGATCTGAGCAAACCGTACCAAAACCCAAGCACGATGGCATGATCAGAGCAGAGTTTACATCAGCAGGGGTCCCTGCTAACAAGCCCCATCTTGCATTTCAGAAAATGTAAGAAAACCAGCAGAGTTTGGGAGGGCTCCTCGGAGAGCCTGAGATGGAGGCGCACGAGGCTGCCAGCTAACCTGGCTTCCCGGGGAGCCATCTCCTCTTATTCTGAAATTACCAGAGGGCTGGAAACTCATCGCTCGAGGTAAGCCACTGGGGGTCCCATAAAGAAGCGGGATGTGACAGGAACAGCAAGCTGCTTGCCAAAAAGGTACTGCCACTCGCTCCACCCTTGCAGCACGTTTGAGTTTCCTTCATGCTGGGACAAAGGCCTGTCTTCCATTACCTCGTACTTCTGATATTTGACTTTGAAATTACTGGCAAAGAAGGGCAGTAGCTGTTCCAGATCTTAGTAAAGTCTACTTATAAAAAGCTCCAAGAGCAGATTACACACTAAGAGGAGAGAAAGCTAAATATAAAACCCTTGCTGTATTCGGAAACATATTTGATCAAGGTAACAAGAGCTTGTTTACTTCTCAGCTTCTTCACATGACATTTCCACTTTCTCTAGACAAGCATTTAGCAGATATTTCAAATCATAATTTGTGATAATTCCAAATCGCCGCTATCTCTGTTACATAACCCGGTCCTCAAGCACGTTGCAGCCTTGCAAAAACATTCCCTGGCAATAGCGGGCCGCTTCCCAAAGCAGCAGAAACTTTGAGAGAGCTGGGGGAAAGTTCATTCAGACAGACAGTAAACATGGGCAGCCTGGCACCTCCGACTCGCCCCGACCACCTCCCACATTTGGGGAGGAAAGGGAACACGGAGAGGCTTTGCTTTGGCTGTTGACAGCTTGAAAGCAGCGTTAAGCTGGCTATCTGGATAGATTATCCCCAGAAACGCATAGATTCCTGCGTGCAATACGCAGGGCACGTTCTCAAAACAAATAGAACAGGGCAAAACTCCAGCGCCGCTCTTCAGCCGGATGAAAACTGACCTACATCTTCTGAACATAATTAGTTCTGCTTATAAATGGAAACTAACTTTGACATTTAGCTGATATTTTCTCCAGATTCTTGCAGCAATCTAGGAGATGGAGAATCAAGTGTTCCAGTAACGCTAAGGAGAGGTGAGCCTCCACCTCCTGTGCTGTTCTGGCTCTAGCAGCTGTCCTAACGAGGAGCTTCTCCTGCATCACCTGTCTGCTGTTGCGTGGTCTTTCCTTGGAGCCGATTACATCCAAAAATATAAATTCCACCCTTTTCACCAGTGCCTTTGCCACAGTTAGCACTGTAAGGGCAGAAACCGCGATAAATGGTTTCTGAGCAGGATACTGGTCCTGTGGTGATCTCTACCAAACAGAAAATAATTTGGCTGCTGGAGACCCTGAAGAGAAGACCCCGGCACCTCTCTGGGTACTGTGCCAGGGCGAAGCACTGCCTGGTGTTCGGGGAACCCCCTGTGCTCCGGTCTGTGCACTCTTGTACTGGCACTGGGCACCACTGAGACGGGCCCGGCTTTGTCTTCTGCATCCCCTCCCCTCATGTACTTGTACGGATCCATGGGACCTCTTTACATCTAAAAGAAAAAAATGCAAAGGAGACTAAATTCAGAGGATTACCAAAGGCTGGTTGGATACTGGGCTGGATACTCAGCTCTGCCGAGAGACTTCACACCACCAGAGTGAGTTTAGCTGGAAACTGCTGTAATCAAGTCATGTATGTAGCTAAAATGGATCGCAAAAAAACTGGAAAGCCAGGGCCCCTTCCCTCCTGCGGCATGGCTGCACAGACACTGATGCAAACACAGAGCATGGACAGAAAGGAATAACTGGACAGCACAGCAAGCTTCCACTGGACCAGCAAGGAAATTATTAGAAACTAACGATAATGAAACTAAGGCCTGGTGAATGCTATTTTAATGCACGTTCACACTTACACCCTACTATTGGTCAGCTTTTATCTCTCTCTTGCCCCACTTTGTTCTGTCTTTTTGCACCTAACCTCCAGGAGTATCTGCAGTTTACATGAGCAGATCCTTTACGTGCTCTGCGACATCTCCACGAGTCGCCTGGCAAGCCAACTCCCAGCTCTCCCCAAGGATGGATTTTCTCATGCATCCAATTCCTGCAATTTATTACTGCTGCCATGGCCATTTGTCAGCAAGAGGAAACTGAATGGCTTTAAACTGATACTACTACACTCCGGGCAAGTTTTAATAGTTGAAAAAGCAGACACAGAAATCCCTCGTTACCACGCCACCAATTAAAACACGAGGTTTTCACCTGTAATGGAAAACAAATACATTCCTTCCTCCTTGCTTCCACTACAACACAAACAGCGCTTTTTCATTAAAATAAGGGTGTAGTTTAATACTATTTTTCCTTCTGCTCAAGGCTTAACTTTTCAAACTATTTTATGTTAACACAACTTAGGTAGTGACTGATTACTTTTTAAACAATTAACAAATACTGTAGAATGCTAAAAGAAGAACAACTGAAGCAAACTGATCAAAATATTAATCAGAAAGGAATTGCAGAAGAGTTTTCTAAAAAGTAAAATTGCTCAAAACCAGACCCTGACTAATTATTGAAAAAGTAAGTTGCAACTATCTAACTATTGTTTTCCTACATCATGTTACCCATAGTTATAAAAATCGCCCGGTGATGAATCACTTCAAACTATTTTTAAATGCATCTACGCAAATGATATTTATAGTTTATGCTAGCTTATCTGTTCTGCATGTTTTTCATGTTAGCACCTTTTTAAAAGGCTGACAGGGACAGCCATGGCAGAGCAGACTGCAGGTCTACCTTGTCCGTGCCCCCCTCGTGGGCTGGGCTCAGCAAACCAGCAGTAGTAAAACTGTGTGGAAGGAAATGCTTTCCTTCACTCCTCTCTGATGAGCAGCCGAAGAGAGGTCCAGGGATCCCGAGAGCTTATCTGGAACACCTGCACATGATGTTCGTCACCTCTGCTGTTACGGTGGCGCTTATTAGACCCAGGCAACTTCCACATAAGCATCCTTGTGTTGAAGAGCTTGAAACACAAGCCTGCTCCAAGACGTGCACTGGGACACTTCAGATGCCGATTATCCACAAGTTCCCCAGATGTTTACACTCACACAGAAGCACAATCACTTGCACATATATGGCCCAGTAGTATATAGGATCCTGCAGCTGCTTTGTTAAAGGGAAGGGTGAACAGAAGCACGAGGCAAACAGTCCTTGTCTAGCCCAACCACTGTAC